GGAAAACCACGGGAAAATCCCAGGTGAGGACACCTTGTCAGTATAAAAAACTCACAATAACATTCAGGGACTCGAAAATTGGCTGAAATGAATTCTGGACATCCTTACTCCGGTGGATGGTTTAACCAATTTGTTGCGTAACCATTGTTAAGCACTGCACTCTCTACTTCCGTCTAAAGTACCTTTATCCAATTTCTTAAGCTACCACCAAAGTTGAACATCTTTAATACATCGCTTATGCATGACCGTTCTAAAGTATTGAAAGCTTTCTGAAAATCTAGTGACAATAATATACCAGAGCAATTAAGTTTCTTAGTTTGCTCCATTATATCACTAATGAGCCTAATATTTTCACCGATGTATCTTACACCTTTCACAAAACCTGTTTGATCGGGGTGAATCAATGATGATAGCAATGGTTCAATTCATTTTGCTTTAGCTTTAGAAGCAATTTTATAGTCGAGATTCAGGAGAGTTATTGGTCTCCAGTTTTGTAGTTTTAGTAAAGAAGATTCTTCTTTTGGTATCAAACTTATTACACCTCTACGCTGTGAGATTGACAGTCAACTAAGTCATCCCCAGTTAGGTCAAAAAAAGTTGGATAAAACTCGCCTGTGAAGGCATCTTCTTCAGGGGATTGGCCAGCACTGCTTTTTTAACATGTATATTTATTGTAAGAGCTATTAAAGTTTCCATGGCAAACAAGTTGTGAAAATAGTGAACTGGGCACATTGCATTGTATAATTACTTGTACTGTACACTTAGCCCTCCCTCTCTATCAAGGTGGCCCTATTATAATTTGGGTTTACTCATTTGTAAGAAATTATTTTGGGTCATAACTTTTGCATAGAGCTTTGGCTCAACTAAGACGTATCATTCAGCAATAACATTGTTTGAATTCTGGTATTCAACTTTGGAAAAACCTTTTAAGGGTAGNTTAGTAAAGAAGATTCTTCTTTTGGTATCAAACTTATTACACCTCTTACGCTGTGAGATTGATAATTGTTTATTTTCGTATGCAGAATTAAGACAGTCAACTTAAAGTCATCCCCAATTAGGTCAAAAAAAGTTAAGTAAAACTCGACTGTTCAGCCATCTTCTCCAGGGAATTTGCCAGCACTGCTTTTTTAACATGTATATTTATTGTAAGAGCTATTAAAGTTTCTATGGCAAACAAGTTGTGAAAATAGTGAACTGGGCACATTGCATTGTATAATTACTTGTACTGTACACTTAGCCCTCCCTCTCTATCAAGGTGGCCCTATTATAATTTTGGGTTTACTCAATTGTAAGAAATTATTTTGGGTCATAACTTTTGCATAGAGCTTTGGCTCAACTAAGACGTATCATTCAGCAATAACATTGTTTGAATTCTGGTATTTAACTTTGCAAAAACCTTTTAAGGGTAGACCCTCTGAACAAAATCAAACCTGTTCAAAGACTTCTCTGTTACATTTTTGTTAGTTTTCTGGAATATCATTTTATATTGATGTAATAATACTCTAACAACATCATGGCAACATCATCAGAGCAGAAGAGTGGAGGCATTACAGCCACCTTAATTCAGCCCTTAAATTTTGTAAACCTGAGGCTTTTTGACAAAACAATTTCAGCTTCAAAATGCAATATTCTGGTAGGACTGTTTCATGTACTTGCTGTAATATGTAAATTTGTGTGCGAAGCTGATTGTCAACTGAGGGCACTATTAAAAAAGTATATCCTGTAGTTCGGCTGTAAACTTTGTAAGATTCTTCAGCACGTTCTGAATTCTTCAAGTTTGTGTTAGGGAAAAAAAGAGAGAAAGTATCCAACATGTTTGTGTCAAACTCCTTTCAATTGAATTTCTTAATAGTGCA